AGGGTCTGTCGGCGGAACGCGCCTCTCGACGTCGACACGATTCCTCGGAAATCGAACTCTCCGATTGACAAATTATTTTACTGTATTATTATTCGTATTCATCTTGTTGTTATACAATTCATTTTTCATTATTATTAAGTTTATTTCTTCAATTTATTATTCATTAAAAGGATTTTTAAATTACAAGAGTAATAAATTCACCAGCTGTCGCCAGTGAGTAAAAGTAACCCTGTGACCCACTTCATGCAATAATCCAAACTAAAGTTTGTCTATATTTAACCCCTAATTCGTCAGAGTATTTTTTTTATAGCAACAAAATTGTTTTAGTAATCATATTTTTGGATACGAAAATGAATGTGATGATATGAATGAAATAAATTTATTTAAAACTAGCTGTTCCCGTGCACATGAAATTGTGAAAATTTTATTTCATTGTTTACATTTGTCAAATTATCAATAGCAAATGACAAACTGACATGACAAACCTTGGCAATCTTGTTTCCTTAATGTCGGCAGCAACTTATGGTCTCTTTCCCACATAAGGTATTTTGTCCAAAATATTTACCCCCTAAGTTTATTGGCGTGAAAATATATAGCCTAAAGCGTTACGTAAGTGTAGGGCTTTTTATCAAAAAAATATGCTGTAATTGCCGACATCTTAGGTAACAAAGAAGTGTGTTAACGCTTTATTATAATTGTATAGATTAGTTGTTCGTCACACTATCGATTTAAGGGATAAATAAGGTTGATTAGTTTTATAAATCACAAATATGAAGAATGGAATATAGGCTTGTTCCGTTTACTTAACTAAATTTACCGTCTCCGTTTTCATAACCAGTCGAGTTTTTGTGCTAGGGTGGGTACACTATGCTAGTTGACCTGGCTGGCTCGGACAATGAAAAAGTATACGCACCCTACCGGTTACAAAAACGGATAAAAAATTGTAACTAACTAAATCTAACCTAACTGGTTAGGTATATTGAGTTAGGTAAACGGGACAAGAATATGATATGAAGAATAAGAAAAAAATTATGGTGACGAAACCAAAGCGCATAACGAACAACTATGAACTATCGATTTTCAGGTTAAACATTCTCCGAAAGGGCGGCTGATTTTAATGGGAATTTAACTGGAGGGTAGCTGGCATGAACGGGCTACATTTTTTTAATTCCGTGCTGTCAAATTGGCGACCGGACCGATATCTCTGGAACGGTTGGGCCGATTTAGACGGGATTTTGACTGAAAGGTAGGTGTTAATGACAACAATAGCCAATTAATTGTCCTGATGTGTGAGTTAAATAAAAAAATAAAAAAGAAAAGAACATGGTTTAAGCATTGCTTGCTGATAAAAACAATATTATACGCATAATAATTTTATATTATTAACAAAAACTAAGTGTGAAATATCAAGCAAAAAAGTGTGTACCAAACAGAAAATTCTGTCAAGAGGGTCTAATTTTAGATAAAATAGTGTTGTTGCTTGAAAACCCTAATGTGGGAAAGGGAACACAAGCTACAAGCTGCCAACATCAAGTAGGATTGCCATGGTTTGTCATCATGTCGTGTAATTTTGACATTTGCAATTAATACTTTGACAAATGTAAACAAAATAATACGGGAACAGCTAGTTTATTAACATTTCAACTAAGCTCTAGGCTTGTGTTAGCATATGGTTCACGAAAATAGTTGGATAGCGGGGTTTGAACCCTCGACTACGTGATCGGTAATCCGTACCTCCAACCATTAAGCTATTGGAGTTTATATATGGCTGATAAATATGGTTATATCATTGAAACATAAATTAAATTATTATTTTTATATTTACAGTAAAATATAAATTAACACTCATTGCCCACAGTAAGCTCCACATCATAAGTAAGGCCATGACTTAACTACGATGAGTCAAATTATCAATATTTATATAAATGACATTTCAACGAGCTTACAACCGCAAGCTTCGTAACCGGCAGGTTTTTTTTAAAATAAGTCTTCTATAACATTTTCGAGTTCCTCTGCCTTCCGGCTG